CCTGTACCAGTCAGATCTGATTTGACGGTACATGCACACAAAATTTAAAAAAAAAAAAAAAGATGCATTGATAGCGGAGCCTACGCGGTGTGATGACGCACTGTGTCGCCATCTCAATGCGCCCGAGCGCGGAGGAAGGAGTCTGGTCTTCACGTGGCGCAGGCACCAGGCATCGCTAGCCGATCTCCTCAGGACCACGGAAGCGGCATGGCAGAAGCCGTGGCTGCAGTGAGCCGCTTCAAGGCCAACTATGCTGTGAAACACAAGATTGAGCCTTTCTACAAAGGCAGGAAAGTTCAGCTAGACCAGATGGGGCAGCACCTCTTTTGCATCTGTGGCACCAGAGTCAGTGTCCTGGAAGTGGCCTCAGGGGCCGTGCTGCGAAGCCTGGAGCAGGAAGACCAAAAAGACATAACTGCTTTCGACCTCAGTCCTGATGACCAGGTACTGGTGACTGCCAGCAGAGCCATGTTACTGGCACAGTGGGCGTGGCAAGAGGGCAGCGTCACACGCCTGTGGAAGGTGGTACACACAGCTCCTGTAGCCGCCATGGCCTTCGACTCCACCTACACACTGCTAGCAACAGGCGGCTGTGACGGGGCCGTGCGTGTGTGGGATGTTGTGCAGCACTACGGGGCTCACCTGGCGTCGTGCATCTGGTGGCCTTCCACCCGGGCCCCACACGCCTGCTGCTCTTCTCATCGGTGGACACTGCCATCCGAGTGTGGTCCCTGCAGGACAAGCTGTGCCTGGCTGTGTTGACTGCACACTATAGTGCTGTCACCTCACTGGTCTTCAGCACCGATGGTGACACCTTGCTCAGCTCTGGCCGAGACAAGATCTGCACAGTCTGGGACCTGCGGAGCTGCCAGTCTACAAGGACAGTCCCACTGTTTGAGAATGTGGAGGCCGCAGTGCTGCTGCCAGAGGAGTCCATGCCTGAACTGGGCGTGAAGTCCCCGGCCTGCACTTCCTGACTGCCGGTGACCAAGGTTCACTGCGTGTGTGGGAGGCCGAATCTGGGCAGTGTGTATACACGCAGCCCCAGCCACCAGGCCCTACCTAGCCAGCAGCTGACCCACTGCACCCTGTCCCGTGCCACCGGGCTGCTCCTCACTGCCACCGCTGACCACAACCTGCTGCTCTATGAGGCACACTCCCTGCAGCTGCGCAAACAGTTTGCTGGCTACAGTGAGGAGGTGCTGGACATGCGGTTCCTGGGTCCCGAGGACTCCCACATTGTGGTGGCCTCCAACAGTCCCTGCCTGAAGGTGTCTGAGCTGCAGACCTCAGCCTGCCAGATCCTCCATGGCCATACAGATATTGTCCTGGCCCTGGATGTGTTCCGGAAGAGGCAGCTCTTTGCTAG